AAGGTTTGAACCGTGGGGGATGGTGTTTTTGCTTTGAATGTAAAGCTTTTTTGTCATTATCACACTGCCCAGAAATCCTCATACCCAGCTGTGTTCATGGCTTGCTGCCTTGGCTGCCTGCTTCTCTCTCCCATGACCTTACACATGCTTCAAACATGCTCCATGCATTTGCTTTAGTCTCTCTCTATTTTTTGTTTTGTTTTATAGCCTGGCTCACAAAGAGGCTTGGATTATTGCTTGTCTTTAGGGACTGCATCTCTCTTCTGCTTTTGCTTTTGTTTTCTGGGAGCTTAATTGTTTTATACTTGTGATTAAAGGCTTCTGCAGTTCTTGGGTCAGACAAGGTTTCCCAGCATCTGATCTGCAAGGAAGGAAGCAGGGGAGTGTTGAATCATTTTGGGTGAAAAAGAACACACAGGACTTTAGATTTTGCTATTTTTCACATTTCTTCCAGCACAGAGGGCTCATTCTCTGTTTGTAAGTACTGTCTTTATTAAGTAAAGGACAGTCCTGGAAATAAGCTGTGCAGTACATCTCCTGATGCTCTACAGTGAGAGGGAGAGGAGCTGCTTGAGCTCAGTTAGGGGTCGACACCATCTTTAGCTCCCATCCCTTTTTGCCTTTCTTGCACACATTCCCACTTCCCCGATCCCACTGTCTCAATGCAAAACTACCAAACAAATTGCTGTGAAATTACCTAAGCCTTGGGTTTATTAGCAGGGCTGCTCTTTTGTAGATTTGGACCAGGTTCCTGATCTAAGGTAGGAGCTCATTTCTCAGGCACTGAGCTGGCAGTGCTCTGTCTGATACAGATAGCAGCACAGCTGTGCACAGGGGTAAATCCCTCACGACCCTGCTTGTTTTATGGTGACTTCAGTTTCTCTTGTGCTATCTCCTCAGATAAATTATTGGATGCATTGTCTCCAGCTTGTGGTTGTTCTTTTCCCGTGACTGAGGTCAGTCATGGGAAATTTTGTAAAGATTGATTTTTTCTTTAATGATAGGGCTAACTAGAGTTCTCTCTAGAGCCACATGTTGTCCAAGGTATCTGTTTACTCGAGTTTTTGTGGCCAAGTCTGAGTTTCACTGCCTTTAAAGGAATTTCTACTCTGTCAGTGTTTGTTTATTTTTGGTGCTTCCATGCTGACATTTTTTTATTTAAATTATTCCACATGCTGCAGTTTCACAGAGTCTGACCTTTTTCCTGCATTACAAGCAACCTAATTTTAAAGGCTGAGACAAGATCTCTTATTTTTCAAGCTCATGAAATGATTCAATTTGCTTCCATTTACAGATTTGTATCTCCGCATTATCTATCTAAATGGCATTAATTTATATAAATAAGTAAAACGGAGAGGCTTTTTGACCTAGCAGGGCTGCTCTTTTGTAAATTGTGTAAAGATTGATTTTTTTCTTTAATGATAGGGCTAACTAGATTTTCTCTCTAGAGCCACATGTTGTCCAAGGTATCTGTTTACTCGAGTTTTTGTGGCCAAGTCTGAGTTTCACTGCCTTTAAAGGAATTTCTACTCTGTCAGTGTTTGTTTATTTTTGGTGCTTCCATGCTGACATTTTTTTATTTAAATTATTCCACATGCTGCAGTTTCACAGAGTCTGACCTTTTTCCTGCATTACAAGCAACCTAATTTTAAAGGCTCTGACAAGATCTCTTATTTTTCAAGCTCATGAAATGATTCAATTTGCTTCCATTTACAGATTTGTATCTCCGCATTATCTATCTAAATGGCATTAATTTATATAAATAAGTAAAACGGAGAGGCTTTTTGACACATGCAAGAATGTTAATAGTTTCACTTAAGGAAGACATCAGCAGACAGAGGAGTAAAAACACATGCAGCAAATGGAGCATAATGGGGATGTGCTGAAAGAGCTGTGCCCTGAGCAGGCTCTGGAGACATCTGCTATTGCCCTGGGGGTATTTGGCAAGCTCTTGTGTCTCTTCCTTGTGTCTCTTCCTCTTGTGAGAGAGGAAGGTGGGGAGGGAAGGAGAGGCACTCTTCAGGTGACTGCCTGAACGTAGCAAGTTTTGTGTAATACATGATAAAGGACAGTCAGGGTATGCTTTAAAGCTTATTATAGTGACTCAATTTAGGGAAGTTGCCTTAGCACCAAGAGAGGCAGTGTGCGTGGTGGCCTGGTCCCCGGGGTTCTTGGGTGCACGAGCAGCCATGCATGTTCTTTTGCCAAAGATGCATCTCCTCAAAACGGGAAAAAGCGGCATCTGTTCAGTCAGGAAGAGCTGTGCTGCCGCAGGTTTCGTCCAGAAATGATCTTCAGGAGCCTCCTGTTTTTTTCCCAAAGCACTTGGGTCAGTGGTGATTACTTATCTGGGCAGAGCAGGGCGGTGATCCAGGCTGCAGCAGTGCATGAGAACAGGTTTCCTGTCGGCAAACCCCAGCACATCTATCAGCAGGTCCGTCAGCCCGTGGGGACAGGGAGCCGGGAACTGGGCCCGTTTCATGTGGAGCGGCTATTGTGAGGCTCCATCCGGGGCACGGTGTGCCAAGTGGGCTCTGGGATACTGACCTGATTGGCAACAGCCTGCCCTTGGCCTGGATTTGTGACTCAGGATTGCGGGTGGTGCAAAACCTTAACAAGGGTTTTGCTCACCAAGATAGAGGAAGAAAGGAAACCAAGGGGACTTGCTAAACTGCCAGAAAATAAATATTAAAACCAGTCAGGAGCTGGTGCTGGAGCAGTCAGCCTGCCGGCTGCTACGGGCAACTCGTGCTGCCCTCTCCTGGCACGGTCCTGGCGGGCTGAACGGGCTGCAGCTGCTCTGCTCGCCGCAAGAGAGGCCAGCACTGGGGCTGTCACTGCAGTGCATGGCATGGCATTGCTGCGCTGTGCATTGCTGTGCATTGCTGTGCGGTGCTGTGCAGTGCAGTGCAGTGCAGTGCTGTGCTGCGCTGCTGCGCTGTGCATTGCTGTGCGGTGCTGTGCAGTGCAGTGCAGTGCAGTGCTGTGCTGCGCTGTGCTGCGCTGTGCATTGCTGTGCAGTGCTGTGCGGTGCTGTGCAGTGCTGTGCGGTGCTGTGCAGTGCTGTGCAGTGCTGCGCTGTGCATTGCTGTGCTGTGCTGTGCATTGCTGTGCAGTGCTGTGCAGTGCTGTGCTGTGCAGTGCTGTGCGGTGCTGCGCAGTGCAATGCATTGCTGTGCAGTGCAGTGTGGCGTGCAGTGCAGTGCAGTGCTGCCGAGAGCAGCGGATCTGCAGTGCTCTGTGCCCCCAGGTGCTGCCCAGGCTGCCCCACCATGACAGCGCTCCTCGCTGGTCCCAGCATGGGTCTGCTCAGCTGCATCCTAGCAATGAGTGCCCAGGCACTCACAGTCCTACGGGACATTCTCTGAGGAGCTTTATTCGGGATTCTGGTGCCCAGAACTGCTGCATGACACTGCAGTTGGACAAGAGGCTGTGCCAGCAGCAGCAGAGGACCAGCTGAGAGCTGCTGGAGCTATGTGGCTCCTGCAGAGCTGTCCTCTCACTGAAACCTGTTGCTGGCCCCTGACCAGCTTAGTGCCCAGGCTGGCCGTGTGACTCAGGAGTCATCACAAAAGGAAAGCCAGGGCAACGCCTAGTACACTACTGCACAGCACACTTCCATTTCCAGGAGAGAGCCTGGAGTCAGATTACTCATTGGGAAAGTCTGCATCTCCCAGCTGGGTCACTAGTGCTCAGCCTCCTTGGCTGATCCAGGAATTTCCTAGCTATTTTGTAGGAGTGGGAGGAATATTTTGGCTCTGCTAGTAATTTTGTGCAGATGGAGTCTGCTGGGAAGTCAGAAAGGCACTGGATCACTTGGCCATAAATAGCACAAATGACTGGAAAACACATGTAAGATGACTTTGTAGAGAGGTTGAGTGTTACTGTGATTATCAGTGGTCAGAACAAAGCAGAGATCCCCCAGCTCACTACAACCACACTGCCCAGCCCTGGGCAGGGCCCTTTGCACCTCTCAGAGGTGCTGTGCTGCAGCCCAGTGCCAATCCTGGCTGGACAGACCTAGCTACTTCAAAGACAGAACATGGTTAGCACACCTCCTGCTCCTGTGCTCCAGACTCTGCTGGCCTCTGCCACGGGGATGGAGAACTGCTTCCTTCCAGGAACTGAGCTGTTTCTGGAGCTCTGAGGGTACAGTGCCCAAGTACATGTTTTCTGTCTTGCTCTGGCAGCAGGGAGCAGCCTGTAAAGGACAAACTGCTGCCTCCTCTTCTGCACACACTTTGTCCTCCTTTTGGAGCCCAACTGCACTAATGCTCATCAGCTGTGAGCACAGAGGAGTAGGACACACAAAAATGCTATGCCTCTTGAAAAGGTGAAGGGCCTTATGTGAAACAGTGAACAACTGTGCAGTAAACCAACATTTTGGAAAAGGAATCTCTGCATCTAACACCACCCAGCATTAACTCATGCATGACATGCCTGGAATGGCTCTTTTGTGGCAATAATAATTTTTGGTGACATATAATGGACCCCCCTTTCCCCACCCCACTGCCCCCTCAGCTTTACAGGAATCTGAGTCTGTCTATTCCAATGAGGACTTCAGCCAGGAAGGGGGAGCAGTCTTTCCCCAGCTGTCCACCTTAAAACCTTTTGTGAAGGTGACCAGCCTTTGAAGACCCAACTCTGCTTTTTCAGTACTGTGATACGTTAGAACTTTTTAATACTGACATATAAATCTGTGAGGATCCTCCACCCATGAGAAACAAAAGAACTAAACCCAGATGAGACCGAGAGCAGTACCAGACATAGGCAAGTCAGGGATGCCTTTCATGGAAATGAGACTGTGTGGGTAGAGAGCATTGTTTCTGTTTCCAGGAGGAATTACAAAGGCAGGACTGAAGACCATTCACCTGCTGCTAAACGTGGCCACAGGTGCAATGAGATAGCCTTTTATCCAGTGTGTGAAGCAGTGGCCCAGACTCTTCTTGGTTACTGCTTGGTCAGCCTTACAAGACACTGACTCCAGCACAAAAGGAAAATATGGAATTTTGGTTTGTTTTTTTCTGCATATTATGTACTACAGAAACGCAACATTCAGGCTCAGTCAAGTAACAAAGAGGAAGCCATTCAAAACTGACCATCAAAATAAATTGTAGAAAGCAGATTTTATATGACAATACACATGCAGCTTGCAAAAGAATAAAGACAGTGAACAGGTATTAAAACACATTTCCATACAGAGACAGCTTATGCAGCAATTTACAAGTTTAACCTCTGGCCGGAGTATGCAAGCCCTTTAAAGCTGGCATTCAAATTACCACTAGCTTAATCGGCCATACTTAGTTTAAGTACATAGCAAAATTTAACTTAATGTTTACATTCACTAGCCATCCAATCCAGCATCAAGGCACTTTCCTTGTTGGTACATCTCTTCCTGTGTCCCACACCTCCACGCACCTAGATGCATATATTGGCACAGCAAACTGGGTGACCAGTAACTTCTTATCCCCAAATAAAAGCAATTGGTTACTAGACAATCCCTGGCTGTATCAAAGTGTCAGGCTAGATGTGACACTGTAAACAAAACTGGTGTGTGTTAAAAAAAACACGGCAAGTTGACTGGATCCATTAACAAATGTGCTTTGATGATGAAAAGTGATAGGTGTTAACAGTTTCACGCTGCAGAGAATGCCACGCCCGTGATCCCCAGAGAAGAACAGCTGACACTTCAGTCTGAGCAGGAGGATGTGGATGTGGAGCTTTCCAGCCATCAGTCAACAGTTGTGCCATAAGTGTTTTTCATCTATTGTTACAGAAGTGTGCTTCTGCAGAGTAGCAATGACATTATTGCATATATCCCCTTCAGGTTGTCTTTGCAAATAAATACAAGTACTGGCTAAGGCTGCATTCTGGGAGGTTCTTGCTGCCCACCCTCTCTCTGCACTACAGTTGAGAGGCAGGGAAGCAGACAATTGCTGAAATATGGCCCTTCATTATTATCTTTAGGGTTTTTTAAATCAAATCTTGTGGCCTTAGAAACGCATCCTTCTGCATTAACTCAGCACTGCTTTTATTTTCAAGAATGGCTCAGATTGCACAAGTCCTACAACAATGAAAACAAATTCACATAATTTTTACTTTTTTCTTTTTTTTGTTTGTTTTACTGATGCTTTCACTTTGAAGGAAGAGAAATGGAAATTCATGAATCCAATACAAGATACTTAATTTCAACCTCCTCCAGATTTTTGCACTTCTACCTCCACTTTACTGCAGTTTTCTGGGTCAAAAGCAAAGCTGAAGACTCGGGTTGGCTGCAACTCCCTAACAGCTGTTTCATGACAGAAGACTCAACATTTTTATATAAACTTCTCCTGTATAATATTACAAGCAGCTCCTGGAATTTAAAATGGCTATACGTATCCATCCTTGCAGGCAGACAAGAGGTTATGGGGATTAAGGAACTCTTACAGTCTCTGTCAAGAGAACTTTTTAACCCAGTTAAAGGAATGCACTCAAATAACATTTAATCTCAGCTACAACCACTGTCTAATGGGAAAAATAAACTAGTGTATTTAGTCCCATTTAATGCACATAAATTACAATGCAAAATGTCTATGTCCTGGAGTGGGGCAGACTATTAACAATCTGACAGCCTCTGGAGTTTCAGATCCCACTGAGAAGTCAACTCCATTGCAGCATACTCTGATGTGGACCTTGGGTATCTGAGACCTGTCTCTAATTAAACTATTACTTAATGTAAATCAGCGGTGGTGACCCCACCTACCAGGCATACTGATGTATGCTTTAACCACCTGACAAAGCTCATGATTTACAAAGCTGAAGCTCCCACCCAGGTTATGGGACTTCTCCAGAGCCCAAGAATGGGACTCAGCCCTAACATGCAAACTGCCTCATCCTCCCAGGGCCAAGGTTTTTTCCAGCTTTTTCTACCCTTCTGTACCAGACAAGCACATACTTGTCATAAACTCTCCAGAACAAAGTTTAAAAATATTTTTCCTCTGCTGTGCTTGTACTGTCATGTTCAGGCGTAACAGGCAGCTTAATTTTCTATAACAGCACGTATGAAGCAATCCCAAGATTTTCACTACAGTAGGAGAGGATATTCCTAGACTATCTGCCCTTAAAGTGAGCCAATACACTCCAGAAAACAATACCAATCATCTCCTGGTCTAACAGAACCACCATAATAGAACTACAAAGGTTATATATTCACTTCCCTTGTGAACAGAAGAGCATCAACCAGCCTGCATTTAAGAGGTTTTTCAAATATGATAATATATTTCTACTAGCCTCCCTTCCCCACCACCAAATTAACAGTCCTTACAACTCATCTTCCACCTGTACCTGAAAAATTCCAGTCCAGGAAATCAAGATGGACATGAAAGTGTCTATATGAAATGTGACTTTAATAATGCCTTTATTTTGTGATGTGCACCAGCAGCCATTGGTGAAGGGGGGAGAAAACTTTTTCTTGAGTTACTATGTTAGGGCCAAGCTCAGAAAATTTCAGTGGATTGCTATAATTACACTGCAGATACTCCTAATAACCTGTATGCAACTGTTTGATGCACTTAGATTTTTACAGTCCAAAGTACAAAATCTTGTTAAACCCTGAACACTGCACAATGTATTTGGCACATAGGTTAATGAACTAGCTGTATACCTGTTATTTATATGTATTGTGGCTTCTGCAAGCTGCTCACCCACTAGGAGCTCCTGCTTAGTCTTTAGTATTTTAGCCCTAGATAAATGCTCTTGTCTCAAAAGAGAGCATGTCACTGCCAGCCAGCCAGAACTTTCCGAGGACCCACTCAATTCTTTGTGTTTAGTACCACTGGCCCATAAACAACAATGAAAGATGTCAGAAATGACAGGCCAGAACTCTTGTTAGCACAGATTTGAAAAATCAGAATCTCTTGCTGCTGTTAAGCAGTAGTTTAGTTTTGAGTGGTCCACAATTAACACCAACTGAGAAGAAAATTCTTTCCCTTTACAGAAAGGCAAGTAGCAACTTAAGGACTACCTGACATTCTCCCTCAAATAACATATGTTATCAAAAGTTAGTGTTACTGAGTCACAAAAACTTATTTTAAAAAATCATCAACACATTTTTGAAAACATCCAGACCTTTGCAGCACTGTTTAGACTACTGTCCTAGGGTGACTCTATGATGCTTGTATCCCCAGTTGTCTGTTCTGTTTATGCTGGGTACTAGGTTCTGCACCTTTAGGACTGGCTCTGAGAGCTGAGGGGGGAGAAGAAGCAGAGTTTGTTCTCAGGGACTGCCCCTGCTCCCTGCATCCTCCTCACAGACTGCGCTGTCTGCAGCACGGGCAGTGCAGGAAGCTCTCCTTGGCTTTCAGCTCGTTGTTAGCTGGCTGAGTGAGGCAGAGAAATCCTGGACTCTGGCTTTTTTTTTTCTTGGAGCTGTTTGGCCCTGCTGTGGACTGAAAACCCAGAAAAACATCGGGAGCTCACACCTGTGGCCTGCTGGGAACCAGGACACGGCCTTGTACAGCATAGGAGGGACTGATAAGAGATGAGCAAGCCAAGGTACACACATGACAAGGACTTTCTGAATTTGCCATCTCTCAGAACACTGAGAGGTTTTAGTGTTTAATACTTTTCATTTTTTTTAATGCTTGTGAATATTTTTGCCTGTTAAATAAACAAGTTTTTTTTTCCACTTTTCTCCAAGGAACTCTTTTCCCAAATCAGTAGGGAGAGAGGCCACTTGAATTTGCTTTCTAGAGGAATCCCACTGGAAGTTTCCTCCCAAATTTGCCCTAAACCAGACAATTACTTAGCCAGGAAGTGGCCTATAATACTTCAGAGGTGGAGGATGGATTGAATGCATGTGGCTGCTGGGCAGTTCTAAGAGGCATGCACACTGCTCGACAGACTCTCCCTTTTACTTGTGGTTTCTACAGTCACTTTGAAATTTGCATAGAGAAGATAACTCATCCCCCATTAAAGGAACTGCCATTTTTTCAAAGAGTAAGGTGTTCCAAAAAAGGAATGCTCCTTCAACCTCTGAAAAATGAAAGATGATCTCCCTGCTGTCTCATGGCAGCAGTTTTCATTACACCTTTGCCCTCTGGGAGGGAGTTTAAAGGTGCTGAGGTGCAGTGGGGTGAAAAGGAAGAGGACTGGTCTGAAGAAAGGTGTAATTATAGTAAGCTGCAATGTAGCCTTTTAATTAAAGACAAAAGTGCCTAGATACAGAAAAATACTGTCAGGATATAGGAACTGTGGAATACTGAAATGTTATTAAAGACTCTGCATTCTTTATCTGTTTTAAATATTCCAAACTTCAAGAGATTATCTCACAAATTTACTCTTGCACTTAATTTCTTCATAACAAAAGCATAAGACACATGTGGACATTTACATGTATACCCATCCTTCCATGCAAGCTGACAGACTAGGGAAGATGAAATGATACTGACACAGGCCTTTCAAGGGCTTTTAGCAAGTGCTCTGCAGAACAGCAGTACCAGAGGTCACAGCACAAAAGGTTTCAGGTGGTCTTAAATACATCGTTATTTTGCTGAAGGAGAAATAAAACACTTGTTTTAGTCTCACCAAACAGCATTTAGTGTTTTGAAATACATTTTTGTTAGTGTCAGATTAGAAAGCTGACTAGCCTATATTAGATCAGAATTAATAAAAAAAAAACATCTTTAAGCGTGCCATAAAATTACTGGTTATCACTGGAGAAGGGATTTATTGTCCTGTAATTTAATTTTCGTTTAAACACTGGCAGAGGAAGTTCCCAAGAAATGTAGCTTCCTCAAAAAAATATAAACTGCGAGCAGGGAAAGAATGAGACATTAAGAAAAACTAAGGAATTTTAACAGCCACTTAAGTGTGTTTTGTGGCTCACGATTACTACCAGCAAAGTTCAAATTTAGAGTATAGGTTTTGGTTGAGCACCAATGACTTCAATGCTTTGGCTGCTTTCAGTTTCAAGGATGTCCTGCAGTATTAGCAGTGAAGTTACAGCACACTACCAGCTGCAGTCTGTCAGGAAGAAGGTCATATTTCCCTTCTCCTGAGCACTCAGCAAAATGGTAAAAGCTTACAGCTTGTTACTTGAGCTGTACACAACAAAGGTGCATCTATTAAACAAAGGCATATATGATCACAGAAGTTTTATATCATCAAACAGTGATTGGGGTACAAAGCCTTTAAATAACTGCTGATCTGTAGTGTCATCTGATTTCCAAACTTTTGAATATGAGACTGAATTGCTGTGCGTCAAGTTGCAAGGCACATTTAGGCCAAATTATTCTATAGTTCATGTGCACACATATCTAAATGTAGGTAAAGTATCAGTTACTATAGTAGCATTCGGATTCAACTGATCTTGGTGTTTTCCTATTTGTACAACATAGCAAGTTCTATTTAATTTTTATGGGTTTTAAACAGGGATGAACATGATTTGCAGGTCTGGTAAGCTGAAAATTGAGGCACTGGGCCAAGTCAAAATTCAGTAAGTCAATTAAGTTACTGAAAAGTGTATCACACAAGTATTCTGCCATGTTAGAATACTGAGCTTCAGCCTTACTTTTGCACAAAGCTGCACTGTGCAACTAGAGCTGGCTTTTTAGGCTCATACACTGCCACACACTGAAGTGTTTCTTCAGAGAGGTCTGTTGGCTGATGTGGATATTTAAAACTTGACCTTTTAAATCGTGTGAAATTCTGTTATGAAGAGATACAAAACGCCCAATGTAGCACAAAGGCTTGTTCAGCTATCCAGATGTAAGGTTTTATGTAGTGCATAAAAGTATATCTCCAGTAGGTCTGGACTGGAAATTTTCCACAAAAACAGTCCTTACTGTATTTTGTCAAATTACTCTTTGCTTAATTTCAGTTTCTCTATTTGCAGTAAGATAAAAATACCTAGCTTACTTTATCAGAAACACAGGGGAAGATGTGAACAGGCACTAATGAAGGCCTAAACAGAGCCAGTCTTTTCTCTCACTGAGGCATATAGCCCCCTTGTCTCACAGTCTGTGGGAGGTAACTTTTTGGCATTTCATCAACTGAAAGTGGATTTTCTTCCACCGTTTCAGGTCTCACAGTTTGTCCTTCAGTACATGTCTGTAAAACATTTGATACAGCAGCTTCCTGGGTATTTTTTTCCATCCCAAGGCCCAATGGCTGTGAACTCTGACCTGAGATCTGCAGTTGAACAAATCCAACAAGATCTCCCTCATTAGCGTGAGTAATCTGCTTTGTTCTTTCAAAGCATGGCCTGTCTGTGTTGGTTTCATCCTGACCACCATTCTGTCTGAAATACTGCTGCCTCTGTGCTGTACTGTCAGCTCCTCCAGCATGATCCTCTGATCTCTCTTCTGAATCTAGCAGGGGCTGGGTTGACTCAGACCTTGAGAAGACTTGCACAGGTGTCTGGTCTCTGTAGCCATTAAGCACCACAGTTGAATACTGTACAGTGCTTGAAGTGTTCTGTGTTGTTTCACCTTCATCGCTGTCAGACACGCTCTGCCTAGGAGAAGACATGCACGAGGATCCTCCAATACCACTGCTGTGTCCTTCTGAAGTACTTTTTTCTTTTTTAAGCAAGTCAAAGGGTTTTAGATCTTGTTCTGAAAAAGACTTCTTGTCATCAGCTTCTATTTCTACAACGCTTACATCTGTAAAGCTGCCTTCTGGGTACATCTGATCTTTGGAACTGAAGTTATGCTGAAAGAAAGAGATGTATGTTGCCTAAGAGGAAGTTTATGTTACAAATCAGAAGCCTCAATAAATATGTGAATTTTTGTTCATAATGTCTTTGAATTTCTTAATGTAAGTTTTCTCTTCACTAAGTCTGGCAATATCTCCAAAGCATGTGTTAAAAAATGAAGGATACAGCTTTGTTTCCAATACAGTCTTAATTATGCAGCTATTCTAAAATGATAGTGGATATGTGAGCAAGTCTTTGCTCTCATTTTAATTATTCTTAAGAACTGTAAAGATAGAAGCATTTGCTGTGCAGCACAGGAACATTCTATACTGAGAACCATACATTACTTCAAATAATGTACTCAACATTGGAATATTTCTTCAAAGAAATTAGCCACAGTTTGTTGAACAGTTTGCCTGGTCATTCATCTCACATGTGGCATAAATTTTGCTGCCATCTTCTCATTCATGAGGAACTGTTTATAGTCTTCTCTCTCATTTATGACTGATCTGTGCAAACAAGCTACTTCAGGGTTTTAAGAATGGGAACCATGAATTGTTTACTTAATGCTGATTTCCCATGAATGAGCAAAGAAATGAGTACTTGACCATTCCAGCTAGTAAACTGAAACTAACTCACAACTTTAAAGCCCATGCAAGAGTGTGAATTTTTGCTGAGAGCCATGTAAATCTAATGCTGAATCTACAGACACAATGAAGTTTTCTAACCCTATTGTATCACAATGTCAGTGAAACTTAACATTCAGGTTTTTCCTTGAAATCCATGTCTGCTAGAAGATAGAAGACTCCCACTGGTTATTTTATCTGAAATCTTGCAGACTGGAAGATGCAGGATGCAGAAAGGTAAGTATTACCTTAGCTGGAACTTGAGGAGACCACTGAGCAATGTTACTCTTGGAGGGATCAGGTACGATAGGCCAGATATGTTTTTTAATTCTGTAAAGGATTAAAAATGGAATAAAGTCACAAGATGCACTCCCCAAATTCCCTGTTCATAGCAAGTACAGCAGAACCCAGAACACCACTCCCTTACCTAGAAATTTTGTATGCCAAATAAGAATGTTGTCTGGGTTACTTTTCGTCTTTGTATGAGGCTGTACTACTTAGCAAAACACATTGAACTTAACCCCTCCACACATTAGATGAAGCTATCAATGCAACACAAAACAACAAATGGTAACAGCAAGAGATTTTCAAATTTATAGCACTCTAGAATGTACAGAGCTATTACTTAGGTAGTTTATGATGCATGCCAGTATGAAAATACAATCCTGCTTCTTTTTAATATAACTATGAATACCAAAGGTCAAAACCTAAGCTAACTTCACAAATAAAAATGAATAAAAAAATTGGAAGAAAAACTTGCTTTGTAACTTTTAAGAATTTAATGTTACTTAAAACCAGAAGCTTCTGTTGATACATCACCCCCAACCAAACCAGCTTTGAAACTGATGCACGTATCCTGCTCTTTATAAACAGATCCAACAACATTTCCTCTGAAGGAGAACTCCAAAGAACAATTCAAGACAGGCTTTCCAACTGACATCCATTAAGAACTGATTTTAGGAGCAGCAGGGAGGTCAAAAGAAAAGGGCATAAAATGCTGTCTTTAATAAGAAAGAAAGGATACTTGGCAGGGGACATAGGAGGGGTGTTACACCTTGCCAGGGGAAACACTGCAGCAATGACGTCTTGGTTAAAGCAACAGACAAGAGCTTTGGGGTGGGGGAGCAGGAGGAGGCAGGCTGCTTTCCAGAAGCCAGTAAACAGGCACAGAGTTACTGGAGATCATGTCTGCCTAATTTTTTTTGTCATAAAGCTTCACGTTTGTTAATGCTGTAATTAAATAGCCCAAATACAAGGAAGATATTTCCAACTCCTCACAAACTAGGGACCATAACTCCTAGTCACAGGATTACTAAAACAGTTTATCCTGATCAAAACCTAACAAAAGCATTAATATTCTTGCAGTATTGAATCATAGAACATTTAGTATGTGTGTAATTAACAGTAAAAGATTTGTATGAGAAGAGACCCTGATTTCTCATGGAAAACACAGAAGTTTTTAACACCAATCAATATATGCATGTTGTAACTTCTTTTTCTGCTCTAACTGAAGGATACTTAGCTGGGTTGGTATAAATTCTGCCATTTCTGTTATGCTCAGAAATGTAAGAGGAAAAGTACTTACAGGTCACGTTTGTTGAAGCAAAACAAAACTCCAAGGAGCACAATCAACAGGAACGCTAGACACACAGGTACAACTATGGCTTCAATTTCTCCTTTTCCTGAAGGAGGTGAAAAGAGGCAGTTATAGCCCACTTTAGCATTTAACGAACTCAGAAGCAGTACATATTTCCAAAAGGTTAGGGAGAGCCTGAAACTGAAATACCTCAGTCTTAAAGCTTCACACTCAGAAGAACCTTTTCACCATATGAAAAGTGTCTCCAGGTAAAAACATGAACAGCTTTGCCCTGACAATCTAGTGCCTTGCAAGGACAGAAAACATGAGCTGATCTAGAAGCTGTAATAGTGACAGAGCAAATAATTTTGTAGCTGGGTAAAAACATGAAAAGCTTTGCCCTGACAATCTAGTCCTTGCAAGGACAGAAAAAATGAGCTGATCTAGAAGCTGTAATAGTGACAGAGCAAATGATTTTGTAGCTTGGGCAGGTATGACAGTAACACCTTTGCCAATCCATCTGCTGCCCCAGTATTTCAGTGACCCAGCAGCTCTCATAACACAGTCATGGTCCAAAAAGTAAAGCAAACAACATCACTACTCATCCATCAGTTTATTCTGTACATGAAAATCGCCTCTGTCTGCAAACACCAAAGTTTGCATTATTGTTATGTATTCCTTCCAATGTTATACACTTTCTTAAGTAAAGCTTGGAGAATGCTTAGGGGAAGAGCAACACTATACAGAAAAAAACCCCTCCACTAAATTTAAGTACATGTCTTTCACAATTAAATTCAGTTAGTAACGTTGCTGTTACCCTTACTTATAAGAAGCACTCTAGAGCTGAACATACAACAAATTTAATTATTCAAAATGAGTCTCTGTAAAGAGCTGCAGAAAACTTTCTTAGTGATATGAAAGAACATGAAAGGGCTCTGAGAATGACATATGCTGACTGGTGCCTACATCAGCAGATTAAGATACAAGCACACATCTCTACAGCTTCTTCAGCACATCTTACCAGGATTAAAACAAAGACTCTGACTAGGGGTGGATGCCATTGGACACCAAAAGAGGCAAGAGCACTGGGTAAACTCTAATGACTCATTAAAGGTCAGGGCGAAACATTATAACCTGAAGTATACATAAAACACATCCAAAACAGCATGCTTAATACCATAAAAAGTGTAATTCATGAGATTTGCAGAGGATATCTTGTTCTCTATATAATCAGAAAAAACCTGACTAAACTACCTCTTAGTAGAACACTAGACACTGGAACACTAGACAAATCACCCAGGTATTATGAACATTGCAAGCTGACTGTAATTGAAACTTTAAAATAAAAACACCTTCCCCTTCTAACACATCTTTCACAGAGCCCTGCTGTACTGTTGCAACATTAATTCTGACTTCTACCAACTGTGCCACTCTGCCTTACCAAATTTTTGTGTAGTAAATGTGAAATCAGGACCGGTCCTGCTTCCATTATCTGTGGATGCCATCATCCGCACAGTATACAGTGTGTCACTCGTCAGAGAGGAAAGGGTGTACTCTGTCTTGGAAGGATCCACTGTCACAACTAAAGAGAAGAAGAAATTTATACTAGTTTTCTACAAACTACAAACAAACTGCGTCCCCACAAAACCAGCAACATTAAGACATCAAGACTTCAGATGTGAAAGATAGTTTTAACAGAACATGTAGCAGATGGAAAATACAACAGTCAAAGACAACAAACTTGTACAAGAAATACTGAGATTCATTTGTTTCTCTTTAGGTGTCTGAATTTAGTCTCCCTCTATATTTAATTTCCTGTGAATTTTGGTTTCCCCAGAATGCACCCACAAACTAAACCAGTAGTATAACTGAGGCTTAAAGTCTGTATTTGGCTTACTAGACATAGCCCTAATGAGGAACTGCTAGTACTGACTAGAAAAAAAAATCAAGGTAAGGAATAGTGAGACATAAGTATGCGTAAGTACCTGGCCCTTTCAATTTAAGCAAAACTAAAAATTACAGTTTTGATAGTGCCAGCTGCCTGTAGTATGCCTGCAGGTCATACATATTACTGAAAACTAAGATGCACTTCAAACAAGATGATTTACATCAGTAATATACTGATCTACAGCTTCAGAAGAATTAAAAAACTTCTCCCCACTTCCTTTTCTTAAGGTTTTATCATAGTAAAATGCAGTCAACTCCTTTTGTATCTTGAATGGTCTGTCATCATCTTGATATGCCATAATTTCATTCTGTATTTAGATAGCAATATGGGAGCACAATATTCAGAAATCAGCTTCCAGAAACTAAACTCAGTACCCTGCTGTACACAGACTGAATGCTCTGAATTCTTTACTAGGGACTTTCTGTTCTGTGTGGAGAATTATGGCTCACACACCTGCTTAACGTTCTCAGAACAGACTGTCAACTATAACTGATTCTGCGTATTTTTCAGGAACAAACATTAGGAAGGAGACAGATGAAACACTTCAATGCCCCAAAAACACTTCTGTTTTCTAGTACCTGTTTCATTTCCATCAATAGTTTTGTAAAGTATAGTGTAATTTCGGATAAATCCATTTTGTTCCTCAACTGTGAGATGGTTCCACGTCAAAACAGCTTCAGCTTTTCCTACTTTTTTTGTCTGAACAGTAGGTCCTTTTGAAGGACCTGTAATGGGAGATGAAGATTAGTTTCTGCTTGGCAACCTTGCATTCACAGAAACAACATACTAACAAGCACTGAACTGTAACAGCATAAAAACTTCAATAGAATATTTTGACTAACTCCTCTAGAAAACACTGTTTCAAATAACAAAAACTACAAAGCTGTTTTAAAAAAGAAACACTCAAACACATATGAAAATAAAAATCAGCATGTTGCGGGAAACCTTCAAATGAAGTTAAGTCTTGATTTTACACTTGAAACTTAAAATAGACCAGCATATAAATATCGCTACTATAAATAATAAATATATTATATATATACATAAATATATAACAAATATATCACTAGAATAACAAGTTCATGTCCAATTATCTGATCAAGGTTGGAAAAACAAAGAGCCAGCTATAGTCAACCATCTGTCTAGTTCCCAAACACTGTAAAAAAGCAGAATAGATGATAACAGATGGGAAACGATCAATGATGTCACCTGGCTCTCAAGTACTAAGCCATACTTCATTACACAGTCCACATTAAAGAAAAGGTTTCTTCATTTTTTATAAAAAAGGGTCAGTGTATGTGCTTCAAGGTGATAATTTTATACTTACGATCTTGCTTGAGATAAGCCTTCACAGACTGTCCACTTCCCTGACCATCAGCATACAGAGGGTACACAGTTATCAAGTAACACTTGAAAGGCTTTATACCTAATAAAAGGATTAAAAAATAAATATATACCTAATAAGAGGAATTTAAAAGGTGGTGTTTCACAGACAGTCAAATTCCTTACTATCCTTCTCATTTACTTCAGATACAGGCTTCTGAGTTTTTGCTGTTTAAATAGGACCACTGTCTAACTAGGACTTGTACCTAATGCAGCTGAGTATTTTCTAGAGCTCATTGATACACTTCTCCAAAACATTAACTAAAGGAATAAAATAATGGTTCACATTAAAATGTAAAATTTAAAAAGTAGACTTTAGAGAAACGGGGTTTTTTTAAAATTTATTTTACATAGAAAGCCTTTATTTATCTGTAGTATTAAGTCCCCAAATTATTAATTTCAGATGCTGATCATAATCTCAAAAGAACAAAGCTGATCAAGTTTCACTATTTGAACTGAGTAATCAAAGAATTTGATTTTAAAAGAATTCAGCCTTTTCACTATTTTAATGGTTTCCAAAAATGACAGTACTAAAGCCAAAATGGAGATAAACCCCTTCTTACATTACATAAATTTCAAAATTCAAGATCAGATACAGCTGTATATTTGACAACAACATTCAAATACTTCCATACACTCTGAATAAACTAATTGAAACCTTCAGCATTAAACCCCTGTTCCACCATAAAATTCTAATCACTGTGAGAATGTTTCTCATCTTCTGAACACTAAGCAGGTTTTTAGAGTGTCCTACAAACCATACACAGATTTATGAGCTACATACCTTTTAAGTCAATTCCTTGAACATCTCCTAGTGCAATCTGCCATTCTATGATGCAGTCTGAGCTGCTGGACACCAGACACCATTCGATCACATATTTAAGAACGTAACTGTTAGGAGCAGTCCACCCTACCCACAACTTGTCATCTTTAGGTAATGTTCTAAGATTCTTTACAGGAGCTGTAATGAAAGAAAAAGGTGATCAATACTGACAGTTTTTTCATGATAGGAGCAGTTCTGGTTGGTACTTTTGTGTAATGGTAGCAATTTGACAGAACCAAAGTAAATGTAGATGCTATTTTCTGAAATTTGGAGATTTACACATGGATCTTTTTATCTGAGATCCAAAAGCAGTATCAGACTATTTAAAAACTGGAAGTTAGACTCAACTTCTCTATTCTCACAGACACTATGTTTCTTTCTTCCAAAAAACCACTTTATTTCAAGAGAAAAATCAGACTTAGAATGGGAATTTACAAGTGTATCAAACAGTTACAATTAAGTACCTTACTAAGTACTTATACTTTATGTGTAGTGTGTATATATAGAAGGAAATAGCATATATAATGTCCAGCCCAGAGCTGGATAAATACATCCTGTGATGGGGCAGCAAGTGGCTCATGGGTCAGGCAGAAAGGGTTACAGTGAATGCATCAGACTGGGGAGCTGGGACCAGTTCCAGGGACTTCACTGGGGCATTCCTCAGGGCGCCGCCATCAGCCCTGTGGCCTAATAATGACTTAACTCAGGACTGGAAGGGACACTAATCAAGTTCCCAGATGACAGAAATCTGTGAGGAACTGCTGACTCCCTTGAAGGCAGGGAGGCCCTGCACAAAGACCTTGACAAAGCAGAAGGATAGGCAATCATCTACCACATGAAGTTCAACAAGGAGTGGTGCCAGATTCTGCACCTGGGATGGGGCAGCCCTGGACGTACAGACAGACTGGGGAATGAGAGGCTGGAGAGCAGTGCCATGGAAAGGGCCCTGGGCTTCTGGTCCATGGCAAGCTGAACATGAGCCAGCAGTGCCCTGGCAGCCAGGAGGGCCAAGCCTGTCCTGGGGGCATCAGGGACAGCATGGGCAGCCGGGCAAGGGAGGGGATTGTCCTGCTCTGCTCTGCACTGGGGCGGCCTCACCTCGAGTGCTGGGGGCACCTCTGGGTGCCACAGTATAATCAAGTTATTAAACTATTAGACAGCATCCAAAGGAGGGCAACAAAGATGGAGAAGGGCCTTGTGGGGAAGCCATCGGAAGAGCAGCTGAGGTCACTTGGTCTGTTCAGCCTGGAGGAGACTGAGAGGACACCTCACTGCAGTTACAACCTCCTCGTGAAGGAAAGAGAAGGGGCAGGCCCTGATCTCTTCTCTGAGTGCCCAGTGACAGCATCCAAGGGGAACAGAAGCTGTGTCAGGGGAGGTTTAGGCTGGATAAGGTTCTTCACCCAGAGGGTGGCTGGGCACTGGAACAGCTCCCCAAGGAAGTGGTCACAGCACCAAGACTGACAGAGTTCAGGTAGTGTTTGACACAGTAGGACAACATTCTTAGGTACACAGTGTGACTTTTGGGGTGACCTGTGCAGGGTCAGGAGTTGGACTTTGAGATACCTGTGCATCCCTCCCAACTTAGCTTATTCTGTAATACATATTATATGCTTATATACCATATATGTATACCTTACTAAGTACTTCCTCCTGCAATAATACTTTGTTTGAATTTATACCCTTAACTAATTAATCTAACAGCTTTAGAACCAGTGGCTCTCCCTTGGTATCTACCTGCACCTATCCATATACCTATTTTTTTGCTTCCTATCCTGGTAGTGTTTGGATTGTCTAAGAAAAGGCTGGAAAGAAGGATAAACCAGCCTGTCCTTACTATTAGTGCATAATGAATAGAACACAAAAAAGAACATGAACAGTATGGAAATAGTGGAAGCAGATGACAAGACAACCAGGTAAGACACTGAAAATGTAGGAGAATAAGACTGGGACAAACAAGGAATGAAGTGAGAAGAAGATCAGGAAATTAATTAAAGGAGAAACAACGGCAGAATGGTATATATGTAAGTATATATCAACATATATCTTAAAAATATTTATTTTTTTTAAGAAAGAGACAAAAATGCCTGCCATGCTAAGAAAAGAAACAAAATAGAGACTATAGTATACAGAAGCTCTAAGAATCAAAAACCAGCAGATCAACACACAGTTTCAAATGACACTGAGTACACAAATCCACACGTTCCCTGGCACATATACAGTATATACAGTGGCAGTTTTACAAAAGGCATGAGACCATAGATAATTCAGTAATACTTTAATTATGTGCCCATGTAAAAGGTATTATTTGACAACACTGAAGATTTCTTATAAAACAGGCCATGCACGTTTACTTGACAGAGCCATTACTAGGACACCCACCTTTTGAATTACTTGCTGGGATAAGTAAAACTGATGGAGGAGAAGCCCCAACACTGTTACGGGCAATCAGAGTCACTTCATAAGTTCCTTCCCGCAGCTGTAAGGTATGGTTGGTGCTGGTAACATTGCATTTCTTCACTGGACTGGAAAGAGATGATTTATCTCTGACAGTCAATTCATATTGCAAGATTACTCCATTGGCTTCAAATGGCTTCAGTGCCTGTCAGAAACACATCTTTGATTAAGTTGATAATGAACAAATGTGATGTAACCCTTACTGTCCTTATGGTACAATTAAAAAATATGAGAACAAGGCAAGTTCCATAGATCAAACACCTGTACATTTAAGAAAAACATAAATAACCTGAGCACATTTGCTATGATAAGGATTGTGATGCACATATTTCTATAGAACAGTCACTTTCAAAGCCTATTCTTCTTTAAATACTATTTCTTTGATCATACCTAGTGATTTAATAAAAGCTGTTCTGTAAGGATTGCAAAAGTTGATAAAACCTCCATTTTACATGACTTTACAACATAATGACATAAAAGGAATCTCACATTTGGTTGTGTTAATATGACACAGTTCATGGACCAAAAGAAAGGGGAGTGACCATAATTACATTCCCCTTCTCAGCTGGACTAATCATCTAGTTGGACACAAGAGCCTTACTGCACACAAATGCACAGTGCTGTTTGTAATAACCTTGGTCTCTGCAGAATCTCAAGGCTTAATGGATTTTGCAGCTGGGGTATCACTGTCTGGACAGTGTTGCCACGTTTTAGGTTACAGCAGAAGACACGACATGAAGCTATGCTTTGTTCGAGTGGCAGTTCCAAATCCACAGGACAACAAATGAGGAATATGAGTATATTCTGCGTATTTTAGGTCACAGATGAGTGTCAGTTAAATGACAGCCTTTACATCTGCATGTTTAATTTTTCATAAGTATTACCATAAGAATACTGAAGTCACTTTTCATATTAAAAAACCCTATACTATCCCAGTCATCTCTCAAGGCTGTTGGGTAGACTTTTCCACTTAAAACCTCCTGTTTCTAAAAGAATGCTCCATTTTTTCAATTTGCTTTACCTTCCATACTAAATGCACAGTCCAGAAAGCTGGTGAGCGAGATGTATCAATGATCCTCCATATGGGTGGTCCTTTAGATGGCACTGATGAAAAAAACAATGCTTGAGAGTAGAATAATTTTTATTTAATCTGTTTCAATTCATCCTTGGATTATCATTATATGCTTGCTTTCTTTAAAAAAATAAAAGCATATTAAAAAGAATTTCTTGCTTTCTCAATGAAAATAATGCTTGGCATATTAAGTGAAAAATTTCCTGAAGAGATGAGCAAGACACCAGTTCTGCTTTAAGTGTACAGTATCAAAAAAAGTATGGAGTCAATGGTGGGCATCTGCAAGATAAGACTAAAGGTGACAATGCTGAGTGAGGCATGATCACACCTACACTGTGCAGCCTGCATCCAGAGGCACAGCCCTGCACACCTGTACTGTGCAAACCTTGCTAGTCTGCATCCAACACTGTTCCTACCCCTCAATATCAAGTTACCTGAAAAAAGAAAAGTGCACAAGAGTTAACAAGGAGACAAATTTCTCCTGGCAGTAAGACTCTTTGATTTGAAAAGCATAACAGAACTGCAGTATTTTCATACAATACTACAGTATGTTTTGGCATCTGTACTATGAAAAGGTGGTACTCCCACAACAAATTCCACTTCAAAGTAAAATGAACCAACCAATACAATAATGCACAAAGCAATAAAAAGTGGCCAATCTTCTGTGAGGGTCTTAGTCCCAAGAGAAAGCTTATCTCAAAATGAATTACATCTTCAACCTTTTAAGACTATTTTTTCTCAGAATTCTTTCATAGCATTTAGTGTATTATGAGGTTTTGGCTCTTAACCTGAAACACCCCTCAGTACCAAATGTACAGCATGCATCTCATCTTTTATGATTTACACTGTGAGAGGAGAACTACAAATTGATGCAAAGGGAGCCCTTTTACTCATCTGAGTATCCAAATTTGATTCACATTAAAGAGAAGCAATTGCCTAATAGAGATAATGAATCTAACATGACCTGCCTGATGTTCATTTGCTACTCTAAAACTTTTGTTCTGAGGCTAAAGTAAGACATGAATACTTAATCAATATTAGCAGTATTTTTGCAAAGCCAGTTACCACAGCAGAACAGCAATGCACTCTAAACAGGCAGGCAGTCCTGAAATCATCATTGCTCAGCCTGAGATAGGAAACATAGAAAATGAAGTCATCCTATCATTAGAACTTGAAAAGCAGAGACTAGAATATTGACATTTTACAGTATCTCCCCCAGAGAAAGTAAATTTTGCATGGAACTGAAGCAATGCAATCATGGATATAAATTTCACTTATTTTAAACTACAATAATCCCTCTTATTTCTTATCTAAGATGACAAATGAACTCAGGATAAAAAAAGAAGAATTTAAAATCTGTTTTAATAATGGAACTTGTATTGGTTTAACTTGATGTGCACTGAAACGCTGCAGTGAACAGACTGCTCAGAAAAGACACACCTTGGAAGATGCTATGGGACATACAGGGTATTACAGAAGCAAGATTATAAAGGTGCAAGTAGGAAAAGCTAAAGTGTATTTAAAAACCAGAAAAATACCAATCAGCTTGACACCGAAGCTAAATAGCTATTACAAATTATTTATAGCAACTGGATATAAGAATAGATTCCCTACTGAGTTCTCTATGGGGTAGCATCAGCACAAGCCAGAAACAAAGCCAACCTTGCAGGCTACCGAAGTGGAAAATAAATGAAAATGTAATACTTTGTTGAAGTATTAAAAGATGTGTTATTTAGACGCTTTAGTGCATAAGAGGCTAGCTACACTTACCATGTGCACATTATTTTATATTATTGCTTTATTAAGTTTGTGAAGAAATCTATGCATCCTGTATGATCTTCTGTTTCTCAATCATCATAGGTGACGATTGTTCACCTATGACCTTTAGTAGCCTCTTAAACACCAAGTTGTTAATAAACTAAGGCAGTTGGTCTACTAAGAAAACCTTTTCTAAATAGGATACCTACTGTTACAGAGAATAACCTTCAGAATAAAAATCCAAGCATAAAGCCTAGATTTTTTCCAGAAGACTTTGAGAACACAGTTTTCTGTGGAGAAGGCTCTTCTCCCCTGCTGCTGTTCTAGCTGTTTTCAGGGAGTTCCTCTACACTAGCTTAACAGGAAGCTGGTCTTATGCTCCTTGGAATGCATGGGTCAAGTCAGTCAGTGCTGAAAGTAACTCAGGAGAGTTTTGTTGCTTATACAAGCAAGCAGCTCAAGGAAGGAAACACCATTTCAGCTAGCCATTGCCAAACTGCAGAGCAGTCACACTTGAGAAGTCAGTGACCTATTTTTATACACTACTTACAATCTTCAGTGGTAATCCCCGTCTTTTCTTCACTCCAGTCACTCCAGTAGCCTGCTCCATCTTCCTTCATGCAACGAATGGAAAAGACATACTCTGTGTAGGGTCTGAGACCTTGAACACTGAACGAAGTTCTTGGGGAAGCTGTATCTTCAGGAGGAACCTGCAAATGTGACAAAGATTTTAAAAGCAGTGATCAAAGTACTGTAGAGCTGAGTTCTGTGCTACTTCAGCTGTCATCCAAGGAGGCTCCCCACCACACACACACAAAACACAAACAAGCTTGCCTTCCCTCTCATTTCCAAAAACTTCAATTCTCAAACATTGCTTGGTAAAGGTTCAGTCAGAGTTGTGTGTCCTTACCAGGTATAAGAAAATACACTAGAACAGTTAGGCAGCTACCTCAGGACAATCTCATAACCTTTTTTGGAAAATTAGCTTACATCTCTCTTCTACCTTTCCACATAATTCTGCTGCTTACTGATCTGTAATACCCTGCCTCACAATTCAGAACTTTGCAAAATTATTGCTTACTAGAAGTTAAAAGTCCAGGATCATTACTTCCACTGATCCAGAATAGTACTTCTTGAGTGAAATTGAAAATAGTTTTACAGTAGTTTATAGTTTTGTTAATAAATTATTTTCATAAACTCTTATCTTAGGTGAGCAACCAAATGCCAGAAAAGTATTCTTAGTATATATGTAGGGAAGCAGGGTGGAGTAGATAATGGACACAAGTATGTAACTGACTCTTCACATTATTCCACTTGTAACTAAGGGCTTTTTATAGTGACCCCTGCAAGGAATGACTACAGATTAAACCCAAATGCGGGACACTTAAGATGTTAATCCTGAGGGTAAAGAATTATCAAAATAGTCCAATTTTAACACAGCTAAGCAAGTTCAGCTGACTTAAAAGCCACTATTTCATTTGTTTTGTGCATATATTAAAAGGCAAGACAAGTTAGAAGAACTTGTCCTACTGTCCTATCAGGACAACATATACATGATCCTGGAGTTGCAGACTAGATTGTGCAGGCCATGCTTTTTAAAACATAATTACAGGTGACCTTAATAAATAGTTTCTGCATCTAAAGCCACATTAGTTACAAGAAGTTGTGTTATGCTACCTGCTCCAAACAGAGTATTTTGGTAAAATCAAAAGCAGTCTTCCAAGAACTCAAAGAATTCAGAATACATTTGGGCCTCTGCTGGAGAATACATTTGGCCCACTACTGCTCTGAGAGAAGGCTTAAAGTAAGGAAAAACAGAGGAGCTATTAAAAATATGTTGACAGATTGATGTATAAAGAAAAAAAAACCCCACAGCTCTTAATGACAGGAACATATAGTACATTACAGGTAGGGCTTACTCCTTACACTTTTCCTGTTCTTGACTGCCTCACACTTGAGGCATGTATACAGGACAGGATTCAAGGTGTGGCTTCACTAGTCACAAATAAAGGTAGACAAATCACTGGTCCTGCTGGCCACACTACTGTTGATCCAGGCCAGGATGTCACTGGACTTCTAGGGCACCTGGGCATGACCTGGCTCATGTTCAGCTTCCATCACCAGCACTGCCAGATCCTTTTCCACTGGGCAGCTTTCCAGCCACTCTGACCCAGCCTGTGGCCCTGCCTGGACCTTTTGTAGCTGCAGGTAGACTAAGTTCTAAAAAGTTTTCCAGCATGATACAGTATTTATCCAAGTTTTGAATGACATTTAGATCACTCATTTTGCACACGTATGGGAAGATGAAAATTCATTAACATTCCACACGTTGTACAAAATAAAATTTAAAATAAACATACTGCACTGTGACAGGGAGGACAGCAGAAAAGTCCATGAAGATACGAAAAGTCACCATACTCAGACTATGCCAAAAAATACCTAGATCACAGCCTCCATGAACAGGCCAGATAAACTTCCTTGGGTGGCCATGTAAGACATAATGAAATGAAACGGAATGCTCTGAAGTGCAACAGGGGGAACTCCAGTTTGACAGATGGCTGGATTACAGCAGAATCATGGCAAAGGACATTAGCAGTATTACCTCCATCCAGTCTGTGTCACCAACAATTTTGTAGCGAATATTGAATTTCAGTGTCATCACAGCGTATGAAATCCAATTCTCCCAGCAAAGCTGCAGAACAGTAGGTAGTAGTCCTGAGGTGATTGATACATTCTGTGGAGACAGTGGCTTAACTAAAAGAGAAGAAATTAAAGTTACCTCCACAGCTGTACTTTACCATGCCTTTAGAAATCCGCATACTATATTGCAGTACTACTATTAAAGTCTTCCAGGACCTGAAATGGCTGCTACTTTACACTATCTTCTGAGTAAGACTACTCAACACAAACTTGCTATCTGAATTGTGAAGAAATCTCTCACCATCCCTACCTTTGCCCAGCACAGTTCAAGCTCTAGTCAACAACACTTACGTAGTGATAATTTTTATAGTGAAGAAACATTAACATACTAGTTAAGCAGCATACACAGAAGCAGCAGTTACTTTCCATTAAAACTTTAAGGCACATATAGTTACCAATGTCAATGGGATCGACAACCAGATGATCAGATTCAGCCTTCCCAAGTGCATTTGTTGCTTCCACCCAGATCTCCGTATTGACAAAGAACTGAGTATCAGTAATGGTGCAAGAATTGTTTACATCTTTTGGTATACAGTCAGGAAAGACCTCTTCTGGCCTAAATAAAAGAGAAAGAAAAACAAGAGTCAAAGCAGTGAGTTTGGTTTCTTTAGAGAATATTTTAAAGTAGATCAGAGTGAGCAATCAGTTTATCTTGTATGTTTCCCCTCTGCCTTAGCTTTGTAAGCAGAGGGAGGGGAAGAAAAAGTGGGAATGGCTTGTTCAGCGACAAATGCATGATTGCATTAGAACTGAAACTAAAACAACATCTCTTTACTTCCAGTCATGTATCTTCAAAAGCACAAGCTAGAGCACTGTAAACAATTTTCTATTATTTATATAAAAACCTGACTTGGCTTAAAAAAGAAAAGAAGAACAAGAACTGATACAAAATTAATCAAAAGCAGTAACTAGAACACATTAGAAAATGCAGTCAGTGCTATTCGAATATCTTTCAAGAGTACAGTTAGAGGTGTAATACATAATTTGTTCACCATCTTCTGCTACACTAACACTAGGTAGTTCTAGGGGCATCAGGAAATTTGCAAGGCATTAACATTTTCTATCTGTGCATACTTTCTACTACACCTGTTACCAAAACACTTCAGCAGAATGGGATAGCTGGAAAGCTGTCCACAATCATTCCTGTTTCCAGAGCAATGCAACAATCCTGTTCACTCAATTTTAAACTGAGAAGCCATCTAAAAATCTCCATTTTATGAGAGGCCATCTAAAGAGCTTGGAAAGTAACTTAATTTGCTTTCACAGGAGAAATACTTTGCTGAAGTTTTCATGTTAGGATTAACTCAGAATAGTGTTTGTCAACAGTTGCTGGGAACTTCAGATAATAACTTTACAAATCTCAGTCATTTTATGTTAACTTCTCTACCTAGAGTCATAGAATGATTTGGATTGAAATGGACCTTTAAAATTCACATAGTCTCATCCTCCTGCAATGAACAGAGACATCTTCTGCTTGTTTAGAATGGGATAGAACTGTCAACCCAGACAAGTGTAGGAGGTTGGGTACAGCCCCCTATTATGAGATGTACTGTACTCAAGCCACACTAATCATGTATTTGAAAAATAGAAAAATATGATATTACTGTTACTCCAAAACAAGTTCAGCAACAAAATTTCACATCTGACTTAGAGTTACTTGAATGCCAATTTCTTTAACTCTTCCCTTTCCCCTCATACCAGACAGACAGACAGCAACACTTCAGAAAACTGGACTTACTTACTGGACTCTTCCAAAGAATCAGGAATTTCAAGGACTGCTGGTTTAGCATAAAATATTCTTCAGAATTATTTAGATATTCTATAGAGTGCTACTTACCATCTGTATCTCAACCTGAATAGAAAAATATGAGATTACTGTTACTCCAAAAAGAAGTTCAGCAACAAAACTTCACATCTGACTTAGAATTACTTCTTTAACTCTTCCCTTTCCCCTCATACCAGACAGACAGCAACGTTTCAGAAAACTGGGCTTACTCACTGGACTCTTCCAAAGAATCAGAAATTTCAAGGACTGCTTGAAAGGACTAGCATAAAATATTCTTCAGAATTATATAGATATTTTACAGAGCACTACTTACCATTTGTATTTCAACCTGTACTGAGTATCCAGGAATGTATGCCTTCCAGGGTTCCAGGTACAAGTCATGACATATGTGAATCTTGATACCTGATGTACAATGCAACTTAAATTCTTGGGCTTCTCTGGAGCCACTGTACAGAAAGAGTTAGCAATAATTAATCTATACACATATTTCAATCCAGCAAGAATCCTTTTAAGTGTACCACTAGAATGATTTCCGTGAACATCAGAAGAATTTAATTAATTCTTCTCTAAAGGATGTGGCAAAAAGTGCTGAATACCATACTGCAGTCAAAGTAAAGAAGCTTAAATAGCTGTTTTGACACACAGTAGGGTGTATAAGGATTAAGCACCTGCTAGTAAGGAACAACAAAGACCTTTCACTCTGAGGCAGAACACCTTGTATTAACCATCTCTCATCTAAATATATTTTAGTTCACACAGAAGAAAAACAAATTAATAATCACTACTGAATTGGCACATAGTGACTTTGCCAGTAACCTAAACTCAATAAGCAATTTGATAGGTCTGTTCTCCCCCACCTGAGGTATGGAAGAAGCTTGAGCTGCAAACCCATACAAGAAAGCTTAGAGATCTTCATCCATGCACTGCAGTGTGTAAGGAACTTCTTCAGAATGCAGCAAAACTATTTTCTTTTCCTCTTAAACTCAAATTGTAACATATGAGTTTGTTTCTACCTCCTATATTATCACTATTTACAACAGTATAATGTACTTGGAGAATTTTATTTTCTGCTTTCAAGCAGAGTGCTTGAAATACAACAACCTTATGAACCTTATTGCTTTCTTCCTGAATAACTGTATTCTTCTCACACCTGTTGCTAGTCTCATGATTTAGTTTTCTTTAATTGTATCAAAATACAATAGCTTTAAATAAAAATGCATGTCAAGACTTGTGACATGAATTACAAATATGGAATGTCATCTGCACTGTCATTACATTCATAATCTTAGAATAATTTATCTATCCTTGCCTTTCCATGTATTCCACTTTTAAAAATACTTTTTATTTTATCTTTTCTGGTACAATATTTACGCCTCAGAAATTGAAATGGAAAACATTACTTTTCTGTGGTACCATTTTGTAAATCATGCTAGAAGCATATAATTTAAAGTTGTGAACTCAAGCAGACCTTTTGCATGCAGACCATTCACAACTGCAGTACCTTTTACCATCACTAGGAGACAACGTAATTCATCAGCCATATCATGACACAACACCTGTCCTGTTAGCAGGACACCAAGTAATTAAGAAGTTGTATTTATTCATGTGACTTTCTCAAGACAATCTTGTCTTAATGCACCTGGTCTGAACCATGCAAGTGCTATCATTCTAGAATAAATGAAGTTTCTAACTAGTTAAATGTATTTTCTTTGGTAAAGGCATCCAAATAATATGTTCCATCCTTAAGGCAACTCAGGTTAGCTTTAGTGACACAGATGGACTAAATGTTTCTCAGTCCATTAATGAAGAAAACATTATTTTCAAAATGTTAGTATGAAACCAGGACTTATCACCTAAAAGTATTTCCTCCAACTCTGATATAGAATCAGAAGAAGAAGAAGGAAAAGTTAATTTCCTACTTCCTATTTCAGTTAAATCCACATCTTTATTCTGTAATTCAAATCTGCCGTTTTTTGTTGTTCCATTTTTTTCCTATTTCAACACTGAAATATTCCAGAGTATTTTCTACTCTTTAGAAAATTTTCTTCAGTGCATATTGAGCAGCTGTGGTGGCATTTTGACAATATTTTTACTCAATTATCCAGGAACTGAGGGAATAAAAATTAAGTGCCTAAAGATATGTACACTTTATTTTTTGCATTTTCCCATTTCTCAGAAACAATTTTCTTAACACCAGAATAAAATGTAAAAAAGTGGTACTCACAGCCTACTGTAACTGTAATTCCATAAATGTTCTGTTCAATCTGCCCATCTGCTAAAATGTTGCATGTCAGAGGAGTAGCTAGTGAAGAAGTGTCATTGAATGTGACACTGGAAACTGTTCTGTTTATTTCACGATACTGTTCTTTAGGTACCAGTCTATTTTTAATCTTCCAGATAATCTGACTGGCATAGATATTGCCAAAGTCAAGACAACTCTCATTCAGAATGCATAATGCTGTGAAATTGGAACCAAGGGCCAGTACAGGTGACTCCGGGATGATGTGACCACATGACTGCACAAGTCCACCTGAAGCTAAAAGGAAAACAAATTTCACATTTATTGAGAACAACACAGCATTCCCTAACCAATATTGCTGATACATCACTAGTGCAATGTTAAAAACACTACATTTGTCTAAGCAGCAAGTTAAGTAGTTTCCTGACAATAATAAAACTGAAATGCATTAGTAGACCACCATGAAGATTTGAGGGCAGAAACCAGCATAGTGCTCTTTAGGCTTTGCCAAAGCATTTCACCAAGCTGGGAAAGCTCTATTAATAAATAGAGGCACATAAAACAGAGAGGAGAGTCAAAGGTCGCGTGTTTGTATCTTTTGAAGAAGGAAGTTGTTATACTTGAGGTTACTCTTTTGATGAAAAAGTCTTTTCTATTAAGAAAGTTACCATAGGAAAATGGGGGTAAGTTTGCACCAGTGTTGTGGTGAACTAGCGTTAGAAGACTAGGTGTGTCTATCCTAACACACCTTACTTTCTGTCCCCAGCCACAAATATCTAGATAAAAAGCAAGCAGGTGCTTCAAATATTCGATATAACTAGCTCTATATCCTCTTGTATTTGAGACACAGAACTCTTACCATCAGGAGAACAAATATTCAACACCAGACAGAAGCCACAGGCCACCCAGTTCCACCTAGAAAACATCCTGCACAGAATTTCTGAAACAAGAGAAAGATATTTATTTTTAAATTTAAACTATTACTCTCTACTTTCGATCAATGTCAAAATCAGATTTGTCTTTGCTCTAAGATAATTTCTCACATATGCACATTTCTTTTCCTGGAAGTGTTTGTATCCTCTCATGTTAGAATGGGCAAATTGTTTCATTTTCTTCACTGCTAAAACAAAATCAAATGTTTACTTAAAAACCCTAAGATTGTTTAAAGCTGCTTTAATTACAAGTTTAAGAAATGTATCAGCTTTAGGTTTCCACACTATATATGAAAACAAACTTCAATGGTAACTCCGTAGGAGGTTCCATTAGAACACAGGGTATAACAATGTGGTTCAGGTTTTAAAATATAACCCTATGAATTTGATTATGGTTTTCATACTTACCTAACTTTCAAGGGCACTGATACAAAATCTTCAGACAAGGTTCAGAACAACTCACCACAAAACCACGTGTCTCATTCACAAGAGTGACTTAAAATACACTCAGGAATTACAAAGCACAATGCTTCCATATTAAGAACTGCTGTCTACTGTAGAAAAGCACTAATTAAGTCTTCAAAACTTTACAAGGGAGCTTGCAATTCCCCAAAAGCTGGAGTACATTTTATAACATGGTATTTATTTCTGTACTGCAACAGAGCCCACTCGTTCTCAAGTTTTGACATTTCTAGAAAACCCTTTAGAGATCCTGAAGCATTCAGATAGTAGCTTTCACCCCCACTGTTAGGAAGCCACTAAATGTGTTCTGGTTTTCTCAAATTACAGTTTTAAAGCAGCCCTAAACTACCAAAAGCAAGTGATCACTCTGCTAAGCATATGAGCTATATTATTTTTAGCTACATTTAGGCATCTTTACAGGAACAGGTAGATTGGCTTAGTGAAATAAGGCATTTAGTTCACAAGCTGATTTCTAGAAGCAGACTTCATGCTATTCTTACACCTAGAAACTTAACATAGGCTCTTGAGGTTTACTAAGATTTGAGAAGAGAGAGCCTAAGTTTTATTTTCCACTAACCTGACAGAACTTCTTTGGAAACGAATATTCTGAGCTTTACCCCATAAAAGGAAACTTGCTAAAAATTTTAAGGGAATTCCACAGTATTCTCTAGAAAGGAAAATTAATAAACTCCACTTACTATTATCAGAAGAAACTGCAATTTATGACAGCAAACATCCCTTTGCTTTGATTGCATGTAATTCACTTCATAAAAGTGACAGACACAAGGTATTTCACATATCTATATATATGTAAAACTAGACACACTTAAGCATGGATCACCCGCAAGCCAGAACCTCATTTCTTACACATCAACACAACTAAGCCATTTTTTCTTTACAAATAAAGATAGCGTAATGTAAAGAAAATCTCTACTCACAGGAACAACTAAATGAAAGCAGATCTCAAACATTTATAGCAGAATCTTTGTAGGGTTTGCCAACCTAGATGTCTTTCAGTTAGAACTAAAATAAAAGCCATCAGAATCACCTAGCAGTATCTTTATTTGCGCCTATACTTGTGAGTTCATTATTCAAAGCCCAGCAAAATTTCCTATACAGAAACTTTATACTATAAACATCGCTGATTGAAAGACTTGCCAAATATATTAACAAGCATTTGTTTGTCACTGGAAGTTTGTTAGTTAATTTTTTGACTAAATAACAAGTTGTTTGTCATCAGACTGTAGCTATATGGCATTGAGAACCAAAAAGCTATTAATTTTTTCTGTGTTCTGCTTAAGTGCTCTCACTGGGCTGGATATAACAACCACTATACTGCTTTAAATGCAATGTATATTTGGATATTTATTACAAGGCTACAGTGAAATAACTATATCAATTGATTCTTGCTTATTTTTGAAGTGTCCAATATCTGAAAAATAAGGTTTCTACCCACACATAAATTTTTGAATTAAAAAAAAAAATCCAACTAGTTCAGCAAATATTTATAAATTTGCATGGTGAATACAACCAAATTCTAAAGAGTATTCTCTTTTAGTTTAAATCACCAAATAATATCAGCACATAGAGGTCTACTTTAATGACTAGACTTGTGCTAACACTTACCAGAATACTGCTTGTTAACTAAAGCCTATTGAGCTCTACTACAGATAGATCTTAGGATTGGTTATTTCGAGCAAGATTAATTTAAATTATTTAATTGGAACATTTTGAGTTGCAGAAGATCTGAAACTCATCAGAAGCCTGAGGGCAACTACAAGCTAGGTGGAAGGAAGCAGGAGCTCTGCTTCACTGCTAATTGCCAAAAGCTGCAAAACAACAGCAGAAGCACCTTTCAAACTGAAGGGGAAAGAATGAAACAGATGTTAAAAGGAAAGTTTTTAAACTGTTGTTTTATTTCTCTCCCATTTGCATCATGATTCATGCCACCTTAGAATAACGGCAGGGTCACCTAAGCTATTACAACATTATAAAGTTACTGGCTTTCTGTTGGGTCATTATTTATTAAAGTCAAACAATATTCCCACAAAACTATTTACTTATTTTCACACCAGCAGTTAAGTGTAGCTCAGGTTATTAAAAACATACTGCAAAGCAACTGAAAGAATAAATAAATAAAAAGCAATAACCAACTTAAGAAGTAAACAGTAATACATAATTATTACACATTTTTGTCCTAAAGTATTTTTTCACTGGAAATTAAAATTAATTACTATTTTTTAATATAAAAGCCACTTCTATATTCAACTGTCTTCCAGACTTGAAAAACAACATTTCAGTTGTTCCAAGCAGATTAATTCACATGTAAGAGACTGAAGTTCCTACAATCTCTACTACTTTGCCCCTTTGGAAGGTTTAGCAATTGTTTTGAGGGAGCCGATAAGCCCTCCACAAACCATACGACTCAATTCCACTGCAATCAGCTCTTAAAAGGCAAGAGAATGGGGCTTCATGCTCCATCACCTGCAAAGGAGAGTTAAGTGGAAAGCCACCCACCTCCAGTAGGAACCAAGCAGCTGAGACTACAGTGCCAAAGCCACGATTCAGCAAATATCTGCTTTAGGCTGTTCTGACGTATTTTACTTACCCCTACCCCCACCGATCAATGCGGTTTGAAGAAGACTGAAGCTACACACCTCTAAACCCACAAAGGAGCAATTACAACCCCTTCTAATGTGTGCTATTTTTAAAAACATTAGTGTCTCTGGCTTTTACAAGACTGATTCTTAATTGAAATTTAGTTCTAGGGGAAAGATCCAGAGTTACACTAGACACTTCCATCCATCCTGCCTACCTCAAAACCATAAAGGAAATGAAAAAAAAAAAAAAAAGTGGGACTTAAAACTAACAAAACAAGGAGCCATAATTCAAATTAGAATGAGGAAAATACTTCTATGCAAACTGGTGTTTTCATATCTGAGTGTGTAAAAATGATCCGGCGAAGACAGTGCAGAAACCCTGCATATAAGCTGCATCAAACCTTAAAAGATAGTGCCATCATTCAATAGTAATGCTAAACACTAACTTGTACACAACTCACAATTTTAAGTCAGACTAAGCTGTTACTCTAAACAAGAGAAAACTAATTTTTTTTCAGTCCTTATGCACAGCTTAACACAAGTTTTACATTTTACTGACTGGTAGAGTGCATATATATATATATACATACATATATATATATATACATACATATACACACACATATATATCTAAGGTGAAAGCTGAATCCAATGCTGAATGAACACTGAAACAGCTGGCCAGTTCAGATGCTTTCTATTAAAAACAAACAAAACCAAATAGCAAAACTAACTATGCAATCGTTATATGTAATTGTTGTGGATCACTAAGTGAAGAGGCAAGGGAGAATGAGAAAGAAACTGACTTCAGAAGTTTGCCAGGTTGTTCTCATGGTTTAGTGCCCAAAGACCAAAATCCATCAAAATACTCTGAATAAAACCAACAGGGTCTATTTAGAATGCTGCTGGTGACAGTCCTTAACTCATAGAAAATAAATTAACTCAAAGTGGAAAAAAAAAAAGTTAAAATGCTCTGATTGTTTCCATAAAGACAGACTGCCACGAGATATGCCATGAGATCATCCCATTTAATATCCAAATCAAATGGGACTTCTATTATTCTTCACATCCTGCAGCCATTTTGAAAAGAAAGCACTAGGGCTTTATGTGTGATCCACAAATTGATGCTTCATGCAGTGCCTATGAAAAGCTAATAACCCTAAAAATCACACCTTATGTGCGCAAAGTAGCAAGTGTTGAGTTTTAATATCAGCCTGTGACCAATAGTTTCTGAAGTAGTATCAGGCTTTCATGCAAAACATGTATCACTACTTATTCTGAGCAAGAGAGAAATCTTAAAAATTCATCTTAATTCATAAATCATGAGACCTGCCCCAAAAGGTACACAGGGATATGCCATTATATAAAGGGTTATCTCTCAATTTCAGAGAAGTCGCAATTCCTGTCCAGGTGACCTACAAATCACCATGTCAGTTTAAAAAACTATAGCTAAAATAACATGTACTTGCCAGCAAAGCCAGCTTGGAAGTCAGGAAGTATAGATAACACCACAACCACCACAGGAAGGTGTTCAGTCTATTAAGGCTCATTATCACATCAATCACAAGAGACCAAAGGTTGCGGGAAAATGGATTTACAGAAATTCCTCACAAAAAAAAGAAGACCTATGTTTACAGCTTCAAGAGGTAATCTGTCACTAGGAATCCACATAGCTCAAGCAGACAGAACCAGGGATGCTTCACAAAGCAGCTGCTCCTTGAGGTTTTATAACAAGCCAGACTGTTCTTAAAGCCATCTAAAAGCTGCAACTATCCTCAAGGAATTTTGATTACTCAAACCGTAACTGCTTTCTAATTAAGCGTATTTCATCTCTAAGCTTCCTTCCTTCCTCCAAGCTTACTTCCTTCTTGGAAATATTTATGAGACTCAAGAAACACCAGACACCTCTAAGACAAGCACTTGAAAATATGTAATGTTATATGAACACAACATTATGTAATGCTATATGTAACATTAATGTAATGTTATATGAACAGAATACTCTGAAATACATTTTTGTATTTAAAATCTCTATATACAAATGACATCTCTATTCCTTTCACCATCTAACAAAGTCATTTCTCTACTGTATACTTATTCCTCTGCCTCTAGAAGGAGGCTTACCCTTGTAGTTTTGATAGGGCCTTCAGAACAAAATATATACACAAAAAAAAGAAAATCAAAACAGGTACAAAGTTAAAAATTACTGAAATTCCTAACTAGAGGCACCAAATATTTGCTTGCAATAATTGAGTTCTTTCTGGTACCTTCTTAAAACTGTAAATCAATTTCTCTGGAACACTTCAGAATTTTCTGACAGCTAGCAAGTAGTTTTAGTTCAAAAATTATATTAATTTATACAGAGTAATGTCTTAGCACTCAGTGTTTGCATTTTGAAATCAAACCTTCCAGACGGATCACAAACAGTGCTGCTTCTCTAATCTAGACAGTTCTTGCTAATACAAGAATAACTGATTAAAAAATGGCCAGAAAGGTTATTTAATTTCACATAACTGTGTGAATGCTAATCCTCCAGACAAGCAGCATGGGAACAGTATCTCCATTTGGTGTATCACTTACAGATGTGCATATCTATCTATCTATCTTTCTCCTCCACTGAAAATATTTATCTATTGACTTTACGTGAAGCACCACATTTCCAGACATATAAACAACATCCAAACAATTACTTCGAATGCTCAACTGCTAGGAGGTTATCTCAAATTTTCATCATCCACACTTACATTCTTATTTTGCTACACCAACATATAGATAATTTGTTCAGAAGTTACATGCTTTGAACAGTATATTCTACATGCCTCTGAAAGTAACAGCATGTAGGAAGCATAAATGTTATATTTCTACAGAGAAGAGGGTGTAAGAAAAAATATCTTAACTCCCAATAATATCCAATTTCTTGGGAAGGTTGTGGATTCCCTTTCCCCCTCTGTGACAGATCACTAACGACAGAGCTATAACCCCACACAGTTCCACTACCTGGTAGTAGAACTACAACTATGTGTAGAACTATGCCTTCAGAATGCCTCAGCCGTAACAAGCAGCCACCAGCTGGCAAACCCCTAGTCAGCCTGAAACAAGCACGAAAACTGAGACTGGGAATTATTCCCCTCAATCCTGCCAAAACACTTGGCAGCCTGCTTTCCTTTGTGCCTCAGTTTCATCATCCGAGAGATGAAAACGATGCCGATTTTTTTTAGGGAAAGCGTCGGAGCCCCACGACAGGGATGACTGGCGCCCAGGACCACATGGGAAGCAACCAGACGGCCACTGTACCCGCTTCTCCCTAATCCCTCAGGGAATCCCCTCCACTACTTGGACCAGCAATAAGACAAAGTGTGCGTATCTCGCAGGGCAGCAGTTTTCTACCATCTACAGGCAACAAGAGCCGCCACTTGCGGAGACGGCGACAAAACGCAAATCTCTTCATCAAGGAAATCCGTGTCGGTGGCACAGCCGCGCTCATGCGACAAGCGACAAAGCCGAAAGACGCCGGTCCCGCGAGGGTCGCGACACCGCTGGCAGCCCGGACGGCCAGCACCAAGCCCCACCGCTCTGGGGAACAGCGCGGGCAGCCCCCAGCCGGGGCAGGGCTGCGGAGGGGCCCGCCAGGGGCTCGGCCCCGGGCTCGGCCATGCTGCGCTCTGAGCGTCACCGCCGGCGCCGGCCAGGGCAGGCTGGACACACCAGACACCGCCGCGGGGCACGGCTGGCGACCGGCCCGGGAACCGAGTGGCGCAACACTGCCGCGCACCCGCCCGCCCCGGCCCGGCCCGTCTCCCGGTCAGCCCTGAACGAACGCCCCGCTGCCCCCGCCCGGGGCGCACGGCCCGGAGGAAAAGGACGGCCCAGCACGGTCCCCGCCGGCGGACGGCCCTCAGGGAGAGGACACGGGGGAGGGGGGAGGTGGAGGGTAAGGAAAACCCCGCACACCCCGGCTCTTACCCGGCGCCGCCGCCTGCGCTCCGCGGCCCCTGCCCCTAAATAGCGGCACAGCCGCCTCGCGCCATCGCGCCGCCGTCCCGCACGCGCGGCCCCGCGCCCGGTCACGCTCCCGCCCCGCCCCAGCCCCCGCGCGCCCTTCCCTCCTCCTCCACCCACCCCGCCATTGGCCCGCGGCTCTCATGACGTCACCGCACGGGGGCGGGCCCGCAGGAAGGGGCGGGGCTTCCCGTAACGCGGCGGCCGGTGCCAGGATGCCGGGGGCGCGGGGGGCGGGAGCGAGCGGTGCCCCGGCCCCTGCTCCGGCCCCTGCCCGTGCCCCTGCCCGTGCCCCTGCCCGTGCCCCTGCCCGTGCCCCTGCCCGTGCCCCGCAGCGCGGTCCCGGCGCGGTGTGTGCCGCTGTGGGCGGCAGCCGCGGGACGCCCGGCTGAGCCCGGCCGGACCCTACCCGCGCCCTGGTCGGCCCGGCCTCTGGAAGCTTCTCCTGGCCCTCGCCCGGGCGGGCCTGCGCGGGCGGCGCGGCGGGGGTGTTGTGCTGAGCAGGCCTGAGGAGCCAGCGGCCTTCCCGGCGTTTCGCAAGACTCCCTTGGGAGTACGGGCGGCTGTAGAATGCTCTTGTCAACAGCTGCCGTGCGAGCAGAGCGCTGCGAGCCAGAGCGGTCTCGATGTTTCAGTCCCCGAAAATCGGTCAGGATTGCAGCCCCTGAGAAAGGTGTTTGTGGAAGGCTAGGTTGCTGAGGAATGGTCCTCAATATAGATCGTTGATGTGATCATGACCCACCTTATACTTGGACATTTCTTCATGCAGTAGCTCTGAAAAGTTATTTTTGTAAATCAAAATAATGTCCTCTAAGATGCTTTCTTCATTCCAGATTAATTTCTTCTCTAGTTCATGAGTAAGAAGGAACAGTGCCATGCCACAAACTTGGTGCTGAGAGTGTTAAAGAAGGCTAATGATACAAGACATCAACTGGAGTTTCTTCCTGCCAAATGCTTTAGGGTTTTGCCCCCTTAGTTCTTAAGTTATATTTGGGCTCAAGTAGGATATGAGGTATATTACACTTCTAGTTACATCTTTAGACAAGTGGGCAGATTGGCTAGATAAAAAAGACATCTAGTTTAATACCCTGTTTCAGGCACTGACATGAGCTGCTAATAAGACAAGATTCAGAACTTTGGAGAAAGACAGTGGAACATAGTTTGATTCTCACTGGATTTTGTACCAGTCTCTGATTATGCTTGGTGTACTGTCTCAGATGGCTTAATATCCGACAAAAATGTTGTTGCTAATTCTGAAAATGCTGTATTTTTTCTATGTAGCAGAGTAAAGCTGGATGGACACTTTTAAATAGTCATTTAGTTGCTCTGTTTTCCTAACAACAAAGTTGTCTGTACTTACATAATTTCTGATAGGTATTTATCTAGGCTGCAGATTAAATTTATTACTTTATGTTCCTGTTTGCAGCTGATGCTGTCTAGTAACCTTAGATACTGTAGATATTGCTGTTTTCTCCCATTGGTGGTGTCTGCACTCAGTGACTCAATCCTTCCCATTTCCTCCTACAGGACTTCTGGTGTTCAAACCTTTCCTAAGGTATCAGGACAAATGACATCTGCAGAACAGGTTTCACAGTTTTTGCAGAATGACAAAAGCATTACAGTTGGTCACTTTTGCTTTCTCACCAGATAATGGTTAGTATGTTTGTGTCTGCATTGATTCTGGGTTACAGTTTGAGGCTGTACAAGTACATTTTGATTGTATAATGGGTAAATTTCAGTGTGCATGGATATGCCTGTTTCAGCATCCTCAAAAAATGACTTTTTGTCAACAAAACTTTAAGTGGAACCTGGCTCTAACTAGAAGGACCAAAAAAATAATGTTTTTTTCTCGTTTTAGCATGTCTTTTGTCTCTTGTAGGATCACTTGAGTTCTGCTGCTAAATAGACATTCCAGGAGCAGACTCTTCACTCTCCTCCCTCCCCCAGCCAACAGAAAGCCTCTTATGACATTCTTATTCTGAAATCCTATAGCCTGAAGCGATTCCTGGTATATTGCCAGAACTTGTAGAACAACCTTCCATCTCCCTTCACAACCAGTCCTGTGACAGGCTTCACTTAATATATGACATGCATTGTAGCTCTTCAAATAAGCAAGAGATTGTGTATTTCACAGACTATCTGTGGACTCTGTAAAACTATGTACACATATCTGAAGTTGTGTCGAGAAACAAAATAATTTCTTTGCAACAGTACTTAATTTTTCTGTATTGACACAGAGTACCATTTTTCATTAACAATTTAGTTGCCAAAAATATTATTGTTTTTAGACACCAGCCACTTTCTGGTACAAGCAGGTAAAAAGTTAATAGCATTTCAATTGCCACTGCATAGAATCAGGACATTTGGGATTGCTAGTAAAGAAGAGAATTAAGCCATTCAAGCATGTTGTGAAGTGCCTTTTCTGCACATAGATGATTTCCTGGCAAGACTCTTTAGTTTGATTTACTGCTTCACAGTCTTCCCTACCATTATATGGCTTTATACTGTACTGTGTATGTAGTATAGTACTGGTGTATAGGTAATATAAACACCAGTTTATAAATTCATTTCCAAATACTGAGAGAAATTAAAAATTCTGACCACATTTTTAAAATGTTCGTGACAGCTAGCATTTTAATCTGCACATTGAATAAAGCATTACATTAAATGTTTATTTTATATATTTAATTAAATGTTTGGTCATATATTCCCTAAATATATGAGGCAGGAATAAAAGAAAGCTAGTTGTAGGAATTGGAAGGTCTTTGATATCAATTACCCTCTGGTTATGCACACTGCAATTTATATTCCAGCATAGTGCTCACATCAGGGCTATATGGGATATTTCCAAGCTCTCGTGATACACAGTTAGGATATCAGTCGGTGAAGCACGCCTTCACATCCTCTGCTTTCTCCTCCAGAAAGAAGGAGATGGCCTGGAAGTGTAGAGATGGGCACCAACACTTGAAAACGTAGCTGTTGGCAAAGGTTGATAGCTGTTCAACTGTGGGAGCAGAGACATTTTTGGAGAAGCTGTTAGAGAATGCTGAGGAACCAGATTGTACCACACTATGGATATTTTCAGCGGTTTTGTAACAAGTTGTGAAAAAATTTTCAGTCTACATGATCCACTGAATCTTAAAATAGGTGAGCCACAGACAGGAAGAATCTTTCTGGCATGTATTATTATCTTGGTATAAGGACATGGAGCATCAGGGGTGTGAAAAGATTCCTCACTCTCACTAAATATGGGGTTTTTTTGGTAATGTATGACTCTCAGAACAGGGATGTTGGGAAAGATTCTCACAGTAAGAGAGAAGCTGAACAACAACACCCTTTAATGGCAACATTCTGACCCATGCCAAGACATTTTCTGTGAATCACTCTGTAGAACTATTTGCCTGGGAGGTTCAGTAAAATATATGAGCCTCTTGCTGAAGTGATAATGTTGTCTCAGCTTGTATCACTTCTGAGCTTGAACTTAGAATCTCCGCTGTCTAATGTTCTTTAACATGAAGAAGAGACAATTTTTTCTCCCTTTGACCTGAATGGTCAGAACAGTAGCAGACTGTTGCATTGAAGCCACAGTCTTGTAGGTCAAAAAGTCATGGTGAAGTCCTCTGAAGAGGTAGGGAGGAGAGAGCAGCAAGGAAAAAAATGGCTGATGTAACTTTTGGAAATGATTTAATGACAGTTACAGCACTTCACAGCCTTTTAACTTACCAAACATGAGTAGCTCAGTGGCAGCAAAAAATGGACTTTGCAATTCACTACTTCTTCTTGAGGGAGATGGGAGCATACTAGTTTTCTTTGAGAGCAGGTAGGTGTTTGTAATTTGTGTGACAAACAAGTAAAGTTCACTGAGCCACAAGCAGTCATCATGGCAACCTTGTATGTGCAGCTGGATGCCTGACGGCATCTCTTTACAAGAGAGTGAGTGATGCATATTGCAACAGGACTGACCTCATTCCTTAGCATTGCTATGCCCAGTGAAAGGGCATAAAAACTGAGATTCTGGGCAGGACCTTGCAAAATTCAGCCAGCATCTGTAGAGCTTCATCAGGACTTCAGAAGTTCAGGAGAATCTTGTGATCAGTGGGAGAAGCTAGGAATGGTGATAGCTGACTCCTCCACATGTGATAGGAAAGCTTTGGATTGCTCATGAGGGCTTGACCTAGTTCTTTCATTCTGATTATCAAAAATAAGAGTGGTAACACCATGAAACTGCAGCCTGGCATACAGAATAGAAAACAGATTGGTTATAGCCCACTTTAAATTAATGGCACATCTAATGGAGCAGTGTGCCTCGCAATCTGCTTGTTTTTCTGCAGTGGAAATTACAGAGCTAATGACATTTGAGACCTAGACTGGAAGCTTTGACTGATGGAACATGTTGCTAGGGGGTGTTTTTTATGAAAAGATAATGGGTAGGATAATCAGAAAAAAAGTGGTCTGGTCTTCACTGGAGGAACAAAACCAAAGGTGAGATCAGAAAAGGAAAACAAATATTAAATTTCAGTGAAGATAAAAATACTGTAAAGGATTAAATTGATCAAACATGGAAAATGGTTCAGTTAGAATGAGCAACGCAGTTCACTGAGAAGAAATGCTTGTTCTGAGCTAAGGTGAGGTGAAGGTGTTATGCTGCAGTTTCTTACATGACATGGGAGAGCTGTCCATGAATTTAATATGCTTCTTGCAGCTGCTGGAGTTAAAATGCCTTTGGAGTAATTCTGCACACACAGATCAGAATGTGGATGTGTTCTTAAGGCAGAACTCTTGGGCAGTGAGTAAGACCCAACTAAGAGTAGCAGAAGACGATTAAAAAGAAAATGACATTTCAGATTGACTAGAATTATGTTTCCTACTTGGCCACAAAGGCTTTCATGAGCAGTTTAGTCAATAAAAAATATGCTAGAAAATGTAAGTCAGTACTTTTTTGGCAAAGTTTTTTTCACAACTATATGCACAAAGTTAATGTGTGAAGAACAGTTGAGCTGGGCCTAGTTATTTGGGCTGACAAAACGCACACTAGCAATAGAAAAAGGCATTCTGAAGCCAAAGCTGTTGTTCAGTCTGCTCTGTTACTGTCTTACATCAGTGTA